AGTTTTTCGTCTAACAACACACCGAGGTATTTTACAGTTTTACATCTAGTTATATTAAGGCAAGAGCATTTGTCTGTTGACTTTAGATCACAAAAATGTACTTTCAGTTCAATATCCTCAACAGCTGGAGTATTGGTAACACGGAACTGTAAGCACGTTGATTTAGATACGTTTAGTGTTAGTAAATTGTCCTCAAGCCATTGTGCCACACATTGGAGACCCCTTTCAGCAATCACCTGAACGTCAGCCCAAGTCTCTCCATAAAATATTAAAGCCGTATCATCGGCATCAGTGAATAATTTGCCATGTATTAATGGCATACGACAAAAGTCATTAATATAAATTAAAAAGAGACTTGGCCCTAGGATACTTCCTTGAGGGACACCAAAAGTGACACTAGTATCAGAACTGATGAAATTTTTAATCTTAACTCTCTGCACTCGGTGACTTAAGAAGCTTTTAAAAATAGAAAGGGCCGAATTTCTAATTCCGATATTTTCCAATTTGTGTACAAGAATGGGAATCGAGACGGTGTCGAAAGCCTTTGCTAAATCAAGAAAAACACCCAAACATTTTCTTTGTTTGTCCAACTTATTGGTTACAAATTCTGTCAAGCCTTTTACCGCATATTCTGTGCTATTACCCGTTCTGAAACCGAATTGCGTGCTTGATAGAATATTGTATTTGGTCAGGAATTTTACCAAACGGTTATTCAACAGCCTTTCCAATATTTTCGAAAGAGCTGGCAGCACAGAGATAGGTCTGTAGTTTTCGACACTGTCTCGAGCTCCACTCTTGTATACAGGAGTAATGAGAGACCTTTTGAACACCTTTGGAAAGCATCCTTGTTCAAAACAAATTTTAAAGAGATTGGTAAGCGGTAATATAATTATATCTTTTATCATTTTAAGAAAAACGGCAGAGATCGAATCCCACCCAACAGCACAATCATTTTTAAGACTTAACAAAGTAGATTCTACCTCCGTCTCGTCAGGTAGATAGAGCACAAATGAGTTAAGAGATCTGTGGTTAGAACTTGTAACTGTACGTTGACCACGATTTTCAATTATTTTATCTGCTAATTTTTTACTAATAATAATAATGATTCGCTCTCTCAACTGAAACCGTAGGATTTTCCCTAATTAGATTATCAGCTCTTATTATTATTTGATATAGTTCAGAGACATTTTCCGTTGTCGGGTGAACGCTGAACTTCGTGACACTAGAGAAGGTCATGTTAGGTTCTAGAAATAACTGTTGCCACGCGAAACGGAAGTGACCTTTGATCCGAACATTCGGTATTCGTGTTGTGTGTTACGCTTTATAATAAACGGGAGTTAGTTGCACCTGGAAGTTAGTTAATTGTACGATAAAGTTAATAGTCTGACATCTGAAGCGGTGCCAAAGTTCGGGCTGCTGCCGACTTTAAAGGTCCAGTCAGGTCTATCACAACCCACACCACAAAAAAATCCACTACACTCAACACATACACACCTCCGACCTGACCGAGTCCTGAGACAGTCGTCGCCTCAGATACAGGCAAGTACTCTCTTTTCCACTAGCCTTCCCCTTAAAGTGTAGTAGGATAGAACAATTCCACCAGGCTCGAACCCGCGGCCCGTCCTTAGTTGTTCGTCGAGTCTACAGCTATGGGCCCCTGTGTGATCGACCTTTGTAGGGAGAGCTAGGGGCGTGTACATTGTTGGTAGCAAGAGCGCGGCCGATTGATTTCCAATCACGCCACGGCCGTAATATTAATAATATAATATAGTATAAAAATAGTACGTAATAATAAAATTATTTTCCTTTGTTGCTTGCTTTTTTTGTTTGTTAGCGGGTAGATTTAAAAGGCACGCCCGTAGGTTGAGCAAGCGGGAGTTTTGTTAAGGCTAGGTACTTAGCGAAGTTTTGTTAAGGCTAGGTACTTTGACTAGGTAGATAAGGTTATCACGTAATCGAATAATATTGTTGATTGACGGTGGTGTGTACCTTTATTTGTATTTAACTTAATTTGATCGTACTAGTGTTTGTTAATTGTTAATTTGATTTGTGTTTTTTTTTGTGCTAACTTTGTGGTGGTAGCATGAATGAACTTTGTTAAACTTTGTGCTAAATTTAATTTAATAAATAGCAATCGTATTTGTGTAATTTCTATTTAACTTGATTTGATAGGAACTGTATTTGTTATCTGTTAATTTGATTTATATTTGAGTTTTTGATCTGTTAATTTGATTTATATTATTAATTGTATTTAGTAGTGATGCCATCGTACAAGCTACTGATTCGTTGCTTGAGGACGGAGATGCGCTGGGCTACCAGCGCTCATGCTTTGATAGGTCGACCGGATAGGGTCTATAACTTGAGATTGCGGCTCGAGTAGGTCGATGTTCGAAGGACCGCAGTGGAGGAAGCTTACGCTGAGCTTGAGGATTCGGATGTGGAAAAGGGAGTCCTGGACTCCTGCCTCGCGGACTACGAGCAGTTCTTTTCGCTCACGGACGAGTTGATCGAGGTTGGGGCTAGGTATGAGGAGGACGCGTGAAGCTCGGATGAGTGGCCAGCCCGAGTACTCTCCGAAGCAGCCTCAACCGGAGCTGTTGGGACGACTCCCAACTCTGGACCTGCCAAGGTTCTCCGGGGTCCTTTCCGAATGGCTGACCTTCGTTGGGATATTTAACAGCCTAGTGGACGCTCGGAGGGACTTGACCCCGAGCCAAAAGATGGCGTACCTCCTGGCTTCATTGGAGGGGGAGGCCCTGGGCGTCGTCGGCCACTTGAGATTGTCGGACGACGCCAACCAGACTGCTCAGGACCTCCTAGCTGGAAGATACGCCAACGTTCAGCGAATTGCGGACGACTATGTTAAGCAGCTCCTAAGCCTTCCGCTACTTAGTGACCGGGCCAGACTACGTCCGGACCTGGTGAATCCAGTCTTGGTGGCCTGTAATGCGTTGAGGCGGCTGGATTTACCAGTGGACGAATGGTCCTTTTTGTTGCTCTACATCGTGCTATTCTGCCTACGTCTCGACCTTAGGATACATTTTGAGGAGAGGTACGGCGGGGACGGAGCCTCCTATATTCCGCCCTTCAATGATCTGCTGCGATGTTTAGAGGAGCAGTGCTGGCAGATTGAGAACGTGGCGGGCACCGTTGACGACTTACGAGTCGTGCCCAGTGAGAGGCGGAATCCGCCGGGCAAGTCGTCGTCAACCCCCCCGAGGCCGACCGGAGCTCCCGCGGAGGGGCGTCGCTCCCTGCCATCATACAGTGACCTAGCGGCCAGGGAGGCGCCCCCCTGCTCTTATTGTCGAGCATCCGATCACCGGGTGACGTCGTGCCCGAAATTGTTAAGTAAGCCGGTTCCGGCGAGGCGAGCTATCGCCAGGGAGCGCCGCTGGTGCTACTCGTGTCTGGAAGGGCACCTCTGACGAGACTGCCCGCACCAGCGGCCTTGTCCGCATTGCCGGGGTAGTCACCATGCAGTTTTATGCCTGGGTGCGGACGGCGTGTCCTCTTGGGGCTCTGCCATGCCCTCGGCCCCCACGGGCGGGCCGGCCGCCGGGCCCCTAGGTTTGAAAGGGGTCCCTCCCCCTACCAGTTGAGGGGTAATTCCCCCAGGGGAGGGGGTGTCGTCGCCCCCCCCCCCCCTCAGCGTGTGGAGAGGAGCTTCACAGCCACTCAGCGGTCAGCTAGACCCTTCTCACCCCCGTTAGCTGAGTGGCCGCGACTGGTGTACCACCGTCCCCCTTTGATGGAGGCAGCCCTAGCTAATTGCCGCCCTAACTCCCACCACGGTTGCCTCCACTGAGCTTTTGAGCCGTCAACCGTCCACTAGTCAAGCTGTTCTATTGCGACGGTCTCAGTGAAGAAGTACAACCCGAGTAGCGGCTGTTAGCGGTTTGCACTCTATTGGCCTCGGGCCCACGCGGTGTGGCCTCCATTTGGTGGTGGGAAGATTAGGGCTCCCCTGGAGCGTTGAATCACGCTGTCATGGAGTATTACATTTGGTTTTGGTCGAGCACTTGGTTAAAAATTCTTTAAATTAAAAATAAAAATGTTTGGGTTTTCCGCGAAATGTTTTCATATCTGTGGCGGTTGTGATTAAGAAGGCGAATTCAATGTACTCTCTGAATATTTGTACATATGTTTTGTAAATATATTTAATCATTATGTTTGCTTGATGAAAAGGGAATTGAAATTGAGTTACACTGTGCCGAAAGAAATAAAAATCAATACTCTCTTTGTTTTCATATTTTTGTTGGCATTGTCGAAGATATTTATTTTGGAAATAAAAAACTTTTCTCTTATGTTTGTCGTTTTAATCTATGCGTATCAAGAAATAAATTTATTACAGTTTGTTTTCAAGTTTTACATAGTAGATTGAGAATTGATGCTTTTGAAATTTGGTTGAAATATAAGCATAGGACTACATATCTAATAGGCGAGCTAGTTGAGAGATTATCAGATTGAAATCAGCTTCCGCGCATTTGCTCCAGCTCCGTCAAATATTCATGAATTAAGATCGTTTATAGGGATGGTTTTGTATATGCAAAATTCATAAAAAACGTGAGCACCTTACTAGCACCGCTGCATACGCTATTGAAAAAGGGAGTCCACTTTCATTGGGATAGGTGTTGTCAAAAATCCTTTTAAGCTATTAAGGAAAGTTTGACAAGCTGTGAGGTGTTAATGCATTATTCGCCAGAGTTGCCTCTAGTACTGACGGCAGATGCGAGTAGTGTCGGTATTGGTGCTGTTCTGACGCACATTACGTCGCATGGTGAGCGGCCGGTGGCATATGCGTCGCGTTCTCTCTCTCCGGCTGAACGAAGTTACTCGTAAATAGATAGAGAAGCTCTTACGATAATTTTTGGGATCAAAAAGTACCATCAATACTTGTATGGTAGGAAATTTATACTACGAATAGACCACAAGACCTTGACATACATTTTCGGTCATAAGGTTGGTATACCGGTAATGGCGGCAGCGCGATTACAGCGATGGGTTATAATTATGATATAGAATATATTGTTTCAACGAAAAATTGTGCAGATGCTTTGTCTCGGATACCATCGGAGGCAAGTACGAGTGATACCAGTAATGACATAAAGTATCTTAACTTTGTTGAACAGTTTTTACCAATTACGAATGATGAAGTAAGAAAGGCTACCGCCAAAGATATACTACTCAATAGAATAAAATTATATGTTGAATCAGGTTGGCCTACGGTTTGTCCTGACGAAGAGGTAAAACCTTACTTCACGCGACGGTATGAGTTGTATGTCGAGTGTGGATGTGTGATGTGGGGTTATCGGATTGTTATACCTACTAGTTTACGGTTATTAATTTTAAAGCAATTAAATAGCGGGCATATGGGTATTGTTAAATCTAAAAGTTGTACTCGAGGCTATATTTGGTGGCCACGCATTGACGAAGAGATTGAAGCGACGTGCCGAAATTGCGAGACATGTTCGCGGGAGCAGAATGCACCACCACGGTCTCCTTCACACCCATGGCCATACACATCTCAACCTTGGACCCGGATCCATGTTGATTTCCTCGGCTCAATATTAGGCCATGCTGCATCTATATTATGGTTGTAGCACGAATGGGTCGGCTCGACCGGGGAAGGACCACGCTCTCACAAAATACCAGCGTAAAATAGCAGCTTAACGCTGCTATGTTTCGAATGGTGAGTGTAGAGAACCGGAGATCCTTTTTACTGGAAACGAGGCATTCCATCTTAGTCCTCACGGGAGACAACGCATCTGCATTTTGACTCTTAATCGAAGATAGATGTAGATGTCTATGGGCCACAGCGACCACTTACCATCAGGTGGACTGTGTGCTCGTTTGTCACCCTTATCCTATAAAAAAAAGGTAAAACATATTTTTTGTTAATCGATGCATATTCCAAATGGTTCGAAATCGTAGAAATGAGGCAAACTAATGCCGTGAGTGGAATAGGAGTTCTTCATTGCATGTTTGCGATTTCGGGTTGCCTGTAGATCTAGTTTCGTATCAAGGTCCACCGTTTACAAGCAAGGAATTTGGATCATTTTAAAAAAATAACGGCATTCGTCATTGGTTTTCACCAGCATATCATCCGTCTTCAAATGATGCCGCAGAAAATGCTGTCTAGCTTTGTAAAAGGGCGATAAAAAGGCTATCAGAGATAAAATCGACGTTGACATAGCTTTACAGACGTTTTTATTAGGATACCGAAATACCATACACAGTACTACAGGTGGAACACCGGCCATTTTACTTCAACGTCGCTCGTTACGCTCGCGTTTAGATTTGCTTAGTGCCAACCGGGTAATAGAAAATAAGATTTATGCGGCTCAGGATAGACAAAAAAAATTTAGGGGGAATTCAACGGAATTTAACGCTGGGGGAACGCTGAATATGGGTTAAAGGGTTTAGTTCACAGGACAAGTGGATTAAGGGGAAAGTAAAAGGAGATAGAAGGTTCGAATAGGTACATTCTAGAGGGAGATAACGGTCAACTATTTAAAAGACATATTGATCAAATACGACGTAATCGCACATGTCTGATGTTATTTGTTCCGATAACTCTTATTTTGAAGAAAATGCTAAAAACGGAAGTGAGGATGATATCGTAGAGACAAGGGAAGAGGTGGATGTCAGTAAGGGAGTAAAGAGCACGATGTAAGTCTAGTTCCAGAACTAGAATCTAAAGGAGTATCCGTGGTTGAACTTAATGACTATACTGATATCTCTACTAATCATCCACCACAAAGTATCCCGGAGCCTCGTTACCCCCAACGAGTTCGCAAACCTGTAGTAAGATATGGTTTAGAATTTGATTAGTCATTAAAATTGTAAAATATAATTACATATTTAAACTGTATAATTCTAGATTAAGAACTAAGCAAAGGGAGTTTTGTATATATATTATGTAAAAATATGTAATAAAATGTATAAGAGAGTGTTAACATTTAAGGGTGGAGGTGTTGTGTAGGTAGAATATAATTTGTAATATTTCATCATTGTGTATTGCAACAGTCACCGCAGTCTCGCATTAAAGGCTTAAGAAGTGCGTAGTGTTTGCTTTCCTATTTTAATACGTCTAGATTCGACAGAGCTCCGAAATTGCATAAAGAGGTAAATGTAAGTGTTCAACATGAGGGCCATTCATGAAATATACAAGCTGTTAGTTTATCTTCATTAATTATTTTTTACCTATTTACTTGCTTGAACGCATGAACAAAGTATCTTCCCCATATTATTGACAGTAAGAAAAGTGTTATTGAAAAAATATTTCACTCAGCAGTTTAGGTCAAATTTAAATAATACTTATTAGTCTTAAGGGCTTACATTACAATTTTAATGCAAGTACTTAGTTCCACTCTGGAACATCGTTAATTTTTAATAAATTTATTTACGTATTTAGCACAAGTAGGTACATCTAATTAAGTTTATTTTAGGTGTATGATACAGACTTATTAATTTTAAACCGCAACACTAAATGGCCAGGAGCTAGACACAACGCTCTCATATGGGCAAATTCGCCTATACATGGTTGAGCAACCATGAGGCGATATTTTGACAATGGGGATCACCGCACATTTATTTGGTGAGTTAAAATTTATTTGGAAGAAAATGTCTATAAGGCTTGCGCAATTCATGGCATGTTTAATATTTTAAGTGATGGATATCCTCTGGAGCCATGGTTGATGACCTCAGTGAAAAATCAATGCCTTGGGAGCCAGAAACATAAAAAGATTCTTTGGTAAACTAGTCTGTTAATAGGTGTCTGTCTCACCAACGCTAGTTAATGTATAACCCATACACTGCTGTCATAAAAGACAATGCATGTGCAGTACTACACAACATGCATATTAAATTCAGATTGATGGAACCATATTTCACCACATCCACAGAAATAATTGTTTATAGCTTTGATGATGACCTAAAAGATGTAGGTATGTGGCGGGTGGAAGGAAAAGGGGAGATCTCCCGCCAGGCAAGGTGTTCTGCCCGGGGAGCGGCCAACGCTCCGAGTGGTAGTTCGGAGCTATTCTATATACATATTGCTTTAATTTCGGAACTTTGTTAGCACGATTTAGGATTCGATGTGTTTCGCTTGTGGCGCGACGACAGCGCCGCCACAGGTATTCATGTTGTGTGAGACATATTAGATTAGACTATTTTGTCTTTATTATATTAGAATAATCTTAAAATTTTATGTTTTTATCACAGGACAAATGACTGGTACTGGACAAGCTGTTGCAGAGTGCATACAAAGATGACTAACAAATACTGTTATACTTCATTATCTATAGTAACAATGTGTAAATTGAAAGAAAATATTAAAAACATCTCAATTAATTTATTATTTTTATTTCACAATAAAATTGATGCATCTCTTATTTTATTGCCCAAATAAAAGAGACATACGCCTCAGCTTGCACTTTGACTGCCTTCGCCTGCATATTGGCAGCCAGCATCTGTAACAAAAAATATAGATAGATTGAGAAATGCTTGCTAATTTTTAGCATGCTGGTTTGCAGATGTTTGTTCTTACTTAATCATGCTATAACGGCAGAACAGATTCATATGAAAGGAGGATGACGAGAATGCATGTATCTTGGGACCCACTGATAGGAGTAGCGTTATCAAGGAAACTTATTAATAGTTGTAGATCGTGACAAAAGTAACAAAAAAGCAAATAGGAAGTAAGTCTAAAAAGGTGGGAGAAAAAAGATATACTTAAAAATAGCAAATAACCTAAAAGCAGAAAATAACCTACAATTATTATTCAAAAAAGGATCAGGATCGTGCCAAATGGAAGTCCGTAGACTCTGCCTACCCTTCTGGGTGACAGGCGTGAGTGTTTGTGTGTATTATTCAAAAAACACTAATTATGGGTAGATGTTATTTCTGAATTGCATTTGAATATTATTTGAATTAAAATTGAGATGTATGAAATTGGGTTACTGTCATCGTTCGTAACAGTTATACAAAAATATGTAGGTAATATAACGATAAATTATAAGCATAAGTAAATTGTTTTTATTTCTGTAATCTATTGAACAATCATAAAAACATTTTTAAAACTGAAAAACGAAAGCTAATGCTTTTACCATAGCAAAAACAAAACGTTTTTAAATATTTTTATGTATTTTGTCTATGGCATTAGATAATGAAGGCTATTTTTTGTAATAAATAGCCTTCATTATAAAAAAAAAACTCATAATATTACAACATTGAGGCAAATCTGTAGAGATTAATACTGAATAAAAGAAATGTATTTAGAAATCGATTGAATAGGCTACGTTATTAAGCTAAACAAAACATTTGAATAATATCGGACATGATTGAATAGGCTGTATTGGTCGTTGATCGATGCCTGTTTTGAAGGAGAACTTGGTAACTTCGAGTTTAAACTTGTCATACGCATTTGGAATTGTGGTTGTGTTTGTGGATATATTTCGTATTTTTATTTTGGGGTTTCTCTCGATTTACAGGGCAGTAGGTTCTTGTGTTCAGATAATAACAATAAGTGTTACTTGGATTTTGAGAGGAATAAAACAGACAAAGTACAGCCTCCGGCTGCTTTTCTAGATGACATTTTATTAATATAAAATAATTAAACAATTAGAAAAGTTTGAGTTGTATTTTATTTTATTATATTTTATTTAATAATAACTAAGAAACGGCATCCTTATGTGTTCTTTACAATTTATTGAAACAACTTATCCCAAGAACGAGTGATTTTACTACATAACATACAAATAATAAGACAAAATAAAATCTAAACCCTAGGTCCTACAAACATATGATTTTTGTCTATTGAGCTATTATGTACTACGTACTAGAGGCGACACTGCATTAACTTACGATGTGCAATTTAACTGCGGTGATAGTGCCGCACTTTACTCAGTCACTCGTTAGGCGCTAGTGAGTTGACATATGCTGTGTTGATTATATTAAAAAAAATCTTGATAAAATATGCCATGGTGTGTTCTATATATTGCACAAATAATTCAGTAAATGTTAGAAAATACCAAGGAATAACTTTTCATCGTTGAGTAAAATACATAATAAAAAAACCAAATTATTCATAAGACGCCATCTCGGGTCTTGAAATATAGATTATGAAATTAATTTGTTAAGATGCGATGTTATCGATGGCCATGTCGAGAGAATGAATGAAGAACGATTGACGAAAAAAGTGTATAAGGTGAGTGTGAATGAAAGTGTTGGAAGGGGTAGACCTAGGCGGACATTTCTAGACCAAATCAGGGACGTCTTGAAAAAAGGTCAGGTCAAGAGTACCCTAAACCGTAGAGCATGTATGAAGGAAATAATGAAAGTGGACGAAGCAAAACAAGTATGTAAGGATCGTAGCAAGTGGAAAGAACTGGTCTCTACCTACCCCTACGGGAAAGAGGCGTGATTATATGTATTTATGTTTGTAAGATGCGACGTTACTGTAGGTACTAAAGTGTGAGAATAATTGTGCATAATATGATATGTATTTTTAAACAAATATAAAGTATTCATAACAAGGCAAAATTTCTGATATTTAAATGTGATGATAACTTTTTTATTTTATTTTTAGATTTCCACGTCCAAGCTATGAAAAGAGGGAAAATGGAATAAATTTATCCATTTTTTTATTCTCACGTGCCCAGCATTTATGAATGACTCTTAGAATCTGAATAAATATATTTGTAAATTTTATGATGAAATTATGCGATGTATTCCTAATTGGTATGATGTGTAGATTAACGGGATTCGAATGCCTCGGCGCCGCGCGCCTCCAGCAGTCCTTTTGCTCCGTTGGACTGCGAGGTCGCGTGTAAACGTTAAGCTATTAGAATCGGGTTAACGCGTACGGAATAACCTCTAGTGTGTCGTCTTTTTTGCTAGTACGTTTTACGTAACGAAGTGTTTTGTTGAGTTGAATGATTAACTTAACTTTGTTTCCAAGTAATTTACGTCAATTTGTATAGTGATTGCTTGTTGAAGTGCAGTT